TATTACATTAAATATTTAGTCTATCTTTTAATAATATTTTGAATAAAGCTTTATATAAAAGCTTTATATAAAATATGTATAAAATATGTATATGACATTTCAAAAAATAAATAGTAATAAATATTTATCATAAATATTATCACAAATATTCTGTGCTGTCTAGGATATCATTTACATATTGCAATATACGATAAATATTTCATAATATTTATAATAAATATTTATGATCTGTCCAATCTAAGACCACAAAATATTTACGAAATATTAAAAATAATCTTGCTTATAAAATATTTTGTATTGGGTTGTCCGGAAAGTTCGTGCCGATGTTGAAGAAAAATTGAAACGCAGAAAATTTAAATTTTAGTATACATTTATTAAATTATATAGGTTAGTCGGCACGAACTTTCTGGACAACCCAATAAATATAAAGATTATGCATTTCACGGGTTTTCTCCGTATCCAGATCCATTCTTGGAATGCCAACGTGAACCTTGTTCTGTCCACTTGATTAGGGCGAGAAGCAGCCTGATGTTCCTCGCCCTGATGAAGTGGACTGCAAGATTCACGAAACGTTGGCATTCCAAGAATAGATGGACATGGAGGAAACTCGCGAAACGCATAATCTTTATAGAAAGCACCCGTGGAAGCCTCAAGAATATATTTTGTAAATATTTTCTTAGCATTGTTTGCTGTCTGGATAAAAAAAAAGCTCTCTGATTGGCGTCTACAATGAGATTTTAAGGCGTAAATCTTAAGGTTTAAGCCTTATGTAAAAAATTGACCAGTCATAGTTTAACGTGAGATAAATAATCGACTATGATTAGTCAATTTCTTAAAGCTTAGAACTTAATGGCTTAAAATTTATGCCTTAAAATTGTAGACGTCGCTTTATAATATCTTAAGATTATATATAATAATATTTAAGACAAATGTAATGGGCTCTCTACAAATAAGCTGTTATTTAAGATTTAAGTCTTAAATCGTAAGAAATTAACCAATCATAATTGAATGTGAAAAGAATAATCGATTATAATTAGTCAGTTTTTTATAGCTTGATACTTAAAGCTCAGGTAATGACTTATTGTAAAAAGCCTATAAGAATCTACGAATACTAGTCTGTGATTGACTTATGATACATTTTAAGAGGCTATTTTAAGGCTATTTAACTGTCAAGTATATTGAATTGACTATGAATATCGGTCATAGTATTAGCCTCGTCTTCTTTTCCTCGGATATCGTCCAATTTTTTTTTAGAGCATCCAGAAACGGAGAAATTTTCTAAAGGCATCTAGGATAATTATGAGGGTCCGTTTCAGGGAAATTTCTTCTAAATATTTTGCTTTGATTCTTCCTGCGCTTATTCTGAATTTACAATAGATAGTAATCCTAAAGAAATTGACCAGTTGAATGCGAGAAACAGAAAGAACATTTGAAAGAAAGAACACCTGCGGTCCGATTCACGCTACAGCACTATCAATGCTCTCACGTACGGTCAGTCAGATTCTCTCCCTGAGCATTTTGCATGAAGTGACACTACAAATTTTTGAATTCCCTTACGATGTGATTCCATGATCTGGAAATGAGTCGGCATGAACGTTTCATTCATGATGTCATTTGCACGGAAAAAGGAGACCAATATGAATCTAGAAAAATATTAATATATATATATATCATTCATGACGCAACACTGGCTGCGTTCCATATAAAGCGCATATGTGTTATTCATTAGACAGTCAAATTTCAGATAAAAAGATATTTGTATTAAGATTCACTCTAATATAGACTAAGCATGTCTGAAAAATAAACGCCTATGTGGATATTTATCCAAAATAGATTACCGTAAGTGTTTATATTTTTGTATTTACGTATTATTTGGATAATTATAAAATTTATTTTAATTATATGTTTTCATTTAATTGTAAAAAGTTTATCAATACACAAATCTTTTTTTTAACATATCAAAATAATTATTTACAAATAGGGGACGATTATTTAATTAATATATGTTATCTTCGAATCCTCGAACGCAATTTCTCTCAACTACAATACAGTCTCAAGCCCATTCTGCAATTGCATAAGCATAGTTGCATAAGTGATTGTTATAAGAATTAATCAATCACGGTCAAATATGAGGAAAATATATGTGAGGATTGGTCAATTCTTATAATTAGAATCATTTACAGCTACGCTTACGCAACTGTAGAATGGGTTTTACATTGAATATCGATTGCGATTTTTATTAAAAGCAATACACAGGTTATATACCTCATAATTACGTAAGGTGATCTAAAACGAAATTATCAGCACGTTAATGAATTAGATCGATCGTTAGGAGTTGTGCACGATCAAGGAATAGGAACAGAGAGAATAAGAATTTCAATCTATCAGAAACTGTGTATTTTATATGCATCGTTTCTAATTGGAGATGGATCGGACCATAACCATTGATTGATCAATTTTCTAATATTAAATTAACACTCTTAATGAACAATTGAATGTGAAATAATAATTATCCTTGACCGTTCTCAATTGTACTAACCTACACGCAGTTTTATATGCGTCCAAAGTTGCAAGCGACCCAAGCAGCGCACAATATTTATAAAATGTTTACAAAATATATTTGTAAATATTTACAAAAATTTATTTTAAATATTTTGTAAATATTTTTGTGATTAGATTGCACAGATTATAAATATTTATTATAAATATTACAATATGAAATATTTATTGTAAATATTAGTAGTAAATGCTATGAAAAAATACTTAATAAAAAATTATAATCCAAGTAAAAAATATTAAAAATATATATTTAAATTTATCATAAATATTATATAAAAATTATATTTAGTCTACAATTTAAATAATAATATTTCAAATATAGCTTTATATGAAATATAATATAATATAAAATATTTATGTAACATTTCAAAAAATGAATAATTAATATTTATCATAAATAATATTCTGCGCTGAAGAAATGTTCGGAATCTTCTTCTAATAGGCTCTTTTGAAAATTTTAATATGACAATTCTATGGTATGATCAAAAATTCTTTTTATTCTCATTAAAATGTCATTCTCATTGGAGATTTTTATCAATTTCACTTTTTTTTAATTTAATCAAAACATTTTTATCAATGCATTTATAATTGTATCAAAAAATATTCTGTTTGTTAATACAGTGACTTTTTATACTGATCACAAAATGTTAATGAAAAATTCGTGTAAAGAATTCTATATGCCAAGATATTCTTTTTTCATCTATTTTCCTGAAAAGAGAGAAACTTTTTTTTCTTTTCTTTCTTCGTTATATAAATAGTATAACATTTCTCAAAAGAATATATAATTTGTAAAACATAAAGCTATGAGATGTTTGCTACTCGCAATTAAATATAAAATCATACTTATATAAATAAGTAACTGCATGCAGAGTAAAAAATTACATGTTCACATAGTCGC